ACACACACACACACAATCACACACATGTGATCCTGTGTGTGTTTGTCTGCATGTCGCTGGTTCTGGTTTCTGACACTGGGACCTACAGCTGTGAAATTTTGCATGTTTATTGTTTATGTTACATAATTTTAAGTGAACGACCCCGAGGGCGTGGGGTCGGGGGAGACAGGAACCCCACGTTAATAAAAAAGAAACATCCAATCAGGACGCAGGAAGGGCGCATTTAAAGGTTGACCACATGGTTACACACCTCCAGGCTACATTTATTTAAGATGAGTCACGAACTCTGTTTTGCTTGTTTGATGACAGCAATGCTGCGCGCCGTCATTTAAAACTAGACGAGACGTCAATAAAGCTGCACACCAAATCAAAGAACCAATCAGAATCGACTAGCTTTGGATAACCGCTGTAAGAAAGAGGAAACGGTCTCAGAGGTCTGCTGTCACACGAGGCTCATCTGACGCAGAGAACCGCAGGTAACAGGTGCATCATGTGACAGGGAGCGGTTGCAGACAGCCAACCCTGACACTGACCTCCAGCGCCTGGAACACCGCCCTGCGGTACGAGGCCAGCTTGGTGTAGGACGCCTGGCTGAAGAACTTGGGGAAGGCGGTGAGGGAGTCCAGCTTGTCTGCAGAAACCTGGAGCAGAGAACACGGCATCAAACACACGCGTCCCACCATCCCGACGCCGCAGCGTTTCTGCGCCTCCTCACCTCAGAGAACTTCCCGTCCCCAAACCACTGCAGCCACCTCATGCCGTGGCTGGCCTGCCGCTTGCCGGTGGCTCGCCACGTCACCACGATCCCCGGCCACCACGAGAAGCCTTTGATCTTCCCCCAGACCAGCTCGCCAATCCCGAAGCCCTTGTTGTCCTAAACAGAGACACGGGAGGAAGTGCAGAGTTCATTCACGAGCATCGTCACTTCCTGTTAATCAAAGACGAATCAAAGATTAAAGTCGGGTGAAATCAGGGCGAGACGTTTCGTACAGCAAAGTCTCGTCATCGTGGACGTGAACGCCAAAGCGTTATCAGACGGCGCTCACGTCTGCGAGCATTCCTTAAACCTGCGACCCCCCCACTCAGTTTGACTCTGTTGTGGTGCAAATATCATAAAAAAGACGAAAACAAGATGTGTGTTCGTCCACGTCGGCTGAAGACACGCTGCTTCCTCTGCAGAGACTCCGTCACTGATGACATCACAGCCGTTTCCCGTGGCAGCGGCTCTTTAACGAGCAGCTGGTGGAGCCCGGGCCATGTGACCCTTCAGTGGGCTGCGTGGATGCTACGCCTGACGGAGCAGCTGAGCTCAGAGCTTCCACGTGGACTCCTCGGCTCATTTCCAGCTTCGTTTATTATTCCTGGAGTCCACCGGTTCGCTTTCTCCTGATTGGCCGCCCTTCTGTAAAAGTCTAAACAGCAGCCGTACTGCCTCTCTGTGACATCACACAGTACCAACAGCAGAAAAAAACTCTGTGAAACAGAACATTATGAGCCGTCTGAAGTCCCGCCCACCTCCTGTTCAACCTGTCTGTCTACGAGGTGTGGCCAATCAGAAGAGACGCAGCAGTTCACGGCTGTTGCATTAATTATCAATGAGAAAATATCCAAGAGGAGGTCAGCACAGGTTGAAAGTGGCCTTAAAAGGGGAGGAGCTAAATCTTGTTGAAGACAGAGGATGAGATCACGTCATCATTTCGACTTACGCTGTACTCCTGCTTGGTTTCGGAGCTGGACGAGGTGCTGGTGCTCTGGGCCGAGTCTTTGGAGTCTTGTTCCATGAGCTCCAGTCGAGGGGTCTCCGGGACCCCGCCGGACCCGACCGCAGCTGCCCGAGGATTCCCGGGACACTGAGGGCAGGGAGAGGGAAGGTTGACAGAGGAAGA